TGAAATACTGAGCTAAACTCACCATTCAGCAACACTTAATTGCAGTCTTCCTTAAGTTCTGGTTCGACGTTGCCTTAAACATCATCATGAACGATGGCCGGGTAATCGTTGGCCAATGGCTCAAACATGTACGGCTGAATATAGCTCTAGTACTATAGCCGCTTACATTAACTGCCGCTGGCCAGCGGCTATAGTACTAGAGCTAGGCTGAATACAACTATCTTCAACATGTTCCACTTCATTGTCTATATCTACTTCATTTTCATCTTCATCAATGCTGATTGACTGTTTATCCGTATCGTACGAAACTGATAAGTCTAGAGACGACTCTGAATCGGTGTTCACATTAGGCTCCATTGTACACGCTTGGCAACGGGTAAACAAGCGCGAGTGCCTACCCTGACGTCACACTACGTCACGCGAAAAGATAGGGGGCGCTTTTGCGTTCCAGCAAATTCTTTACATTGTGAACATCAAAAAATATTTTTTTCTCATACACCCGAAAACCATTCAACCTGTAAATTTCTCAGTAGTTGTACATAACATAGTTACTTTGATATATGTAACTATTTTTCATCACTAAAGGAGGCCTTTAAACAGCATGTAGAATTTACATTTAAGGGACCGCTTGCCAGTACAGATGACAAACATCGCGCAGGATGGCTAGGCATGTGGATAGGACAGCAAGGTAGGGAAGTCTACAAAACGTTCATATGGGCTCAGGGCCAAGAAGACGACCCCAAAGAAATTCTCAAGAAAATTGAAGAATATGTCCGACCTAAGAAAAACAAGCGAGTAGCGAGATTCAAGGCTCAAGAACGATCTCAGTCAGAAGGTGAAACGTTTAATAATTTCGTCAAAGATCTGAGGATTCTATTGATGAACTGAGAATACACAGACCCAGATGACATTATGATTGACTTAATCATCAACGGCGTACGACACCGTAAGGTACAAGAACGTCTTCTAGATCAGGGACAATAGCTCACTATAGCGAAGGCTATTGAGATAGGGCACCGATTTGAGTTATCACAGAGCCAAATCAAAACGATGCATGGAGAAGAAGTTCTCGCAGTCAAAACAAGGCGACACGTCAGTAACAGCTACAGGAAGAGACAACCCGTACAGCAGAAGCAGTTTTGAAGCAAGGAACGAGATTCCGCACAAGAAACGAGGTGTAGCCACAGTCATGCTAACAACTGCTCCAGCTGCGGCAGAGTTCACGATGAAGGAAAATGCCCGGCTAAAGGAACAGTCTGCAAGTATTGTAAGAAACCGAATCACTGGCTAAAGATGTGTAGGAAAAGACTCCGCCAAGTCAGCGGTATGCGTTGCGACTCAGCGCAAGAGAGTGAAGACTCAAATGACAGCGACGGCTTACTACACATCCACGCGACACAAGCTGCGCAGGGACCAGTGAACACTCTCTCTAGTGACAAATGGCTAGTGCACTTAAAGGTATACAACCACGACGTGCCGTTCAGAATAGACACAGGGTCGAAATGCTGCATTATTGTTAAACCACAGCTAGAAAGACTAGAATCTCTCGGTGAACGCATCAAGATGTCAGTCTCTCAGAGAACCCTCGTCTTATACAAATCACAAGGTCAAATAAGTAGGGACGGTTAACCTACCAGTGAAGTATAAAGAGAATGAAGCATGCGCACAGTTTGAGATCGTTGACCTAAATCAGGAAAACATTATCAGCGGTGATGTTGCAGAAAGCCTGGGTCTGATACAGCGAGTAGATGCTGTCGGAGAACTCTCCGCACGTGAAAAAATAGCACGTGATTATCCTGAATTAGTGGAAACCACAGGTACTCTGCCAGGAGAATACACTATAAAGATCGAAGAAAGCGCAAAAGGTGTGATCCATCCAGCTCGCTGACTGGCAGCGTCAATAAAACCGCGTGCCATCGAAAAACTCAGAGAAATGGAAAGGAACGGATACATCGCGCCGGTGAGCGAACCAACAGAATGGGTCAGCTCCATGGTAGTGTCACTCAGGAAAGACAAGGTCAGGATCTGCATAGATCCAAAAGATCTAAACAAAGTCATAAAAATGGAACATCACCCCATGAAAACAATAGACAATGTAATAGCATGCATACCAGATGCGACACTGTTCTCAGTACTCACCACGAAGTCAGGATTTCTACAGATAGAATTGGACCTGAAGTCGTCATACCTGACCACGTTCAACAGCCCTATAGGAAGATATAGGTGGCTCAGACTACCTTTCGAAATAAAGTCCGCACCTGAAATATATCAGCGGATCATGAACCAGATGATAGAAGGAATTGACAGAGCATTCGCAATCGTGGATGACATCCTCATCGCAGGTCGAAACCAGGCACATCATGATGAAATATTCAGGCAAGTAGTTGAACGAGCAACTAAGTACAATGACTAATGTAACTACGACAAGTGCAGCATACGACAACCCAGTGTACCCTTCATGGGGCACGTGATCACGGCAGGTCAACAGCCAGACCCCGAAAAGGTCAAAGCCATTGTCGAGATGCCAGCACCACGTAACAAGGGAGTCCGCAGATTGCTTGGTCTGGCACAGTACCTAGCAAAATTTATTCCCAATCTAAGCCAAGTCGACGCACCCCTGCGGTGCCTCCTGAAGTCAGATATGACATTCGCATGGAAGCACGAACATAAAGACAGCTTCAAAGAGCTGAAACAGAAATGCAGTACATCTCCAGTACTAGCATTCTACGACGTAAACAAACCCGTGCACATAGAGTGCGATGCAAGCAAAGACGGGTTAGGTGCTGTACTCATGCAGGAAGGTCGTGTTATTGCATATGCGTCCCGTACAATGACTGAAACTGAACAACAATACGCACAAATCGAAAAAGAAATGTTGTCGATAGTGTACAGCATGGCCAAGTTTCACTGCTATGTGTTCGGTAAGAAGACCACAGTCCACAATGATCACAAACTGCTAGGGGTGAGTATTGCGACCAAAAACCGTATTGCAATATATTGCAATACGACAAAACCGTATTGCAATATTTTCCAATACGTATTGGGAAGTGTATACCATGCATGATATAGTAACAATTTGATGGTTTTAATATTATCATATATTGTATTATATGACATGATTTAATTTCTCATGTTTTTCTTGAGAAACAGAAGCACGTACGGCAATGGTTTCTGCTGACAGTGCAGCCCTCTGTGCCGTAACAATGTCACCCGCTGTACTGAATACCCTCTCGGAAGGCACTGCCGTGGCTGGAATACACAATACCCCTGCTGCATAATTGGTTAATACTGGATACTGAAACTGAAACTGAAACTGAAACTGAAACAGTGGGTGCTCGCTTCAGCTTGTATCGCGCGCGCGCGGGCACTCAGGTGAGCATAGGCTATATATAGACTCCCTAGTTGCCGTGCTCTCTGCCTCGCGCACACGTCTGCCCCACTGTGCCCGCGCAGTAGTACCGCGCTGTGCTCCCTGCAGTGGTCGCTTACCAGTAATACTGTATGCGTCGTGCAGGCATTGTGCTTTCGTAATATATACACCGCCAGTGCATAATTTTCGAGCCCATTAACAATATAGACATAAAGGCAAGTGTCAAGTAATTTATTTCTTGTTATACCACCGTATCGTAAAATATCGATATCCGGAAGTTGTATCGCGATATATCGAGTTTTCAAAATATATTGCAATATACCGATATACCGGTATATCGTTACACCCCTACAAACTGCTAGAACAGATATTCGCAAAACCACTACTGTCAGCTCCGATGAGAATTCAGAGAATGCTGAAATTACAGTGGCACGACATCGAGGTTAGATACCGAAAGGGGAAAGAGATGTTTGTGTCGGATGCACTCTCCCGAGCATATCTACCCGGAAACCAAGTCGAAGCAGATGATCTTGAGGAAAGCGACGTGATCAGCATGATATCCGTCAGCAAATCCAGATACGTAGAAATCAAAGAGAAAACACAGTCTGAACTCCAAACACTATATCAGGTGATAAGCAATGGTTGGCCAGACAACAAAAGTGAAGCTCCAGCTGAGGTGAGACAGTACTGGGACTCGCGTGACCAGCTAGCTGTATGTGATAGCATCATCTACAAGGAACAGAGAATTGTAATTCCGCCTACCCTACGCAACGACATGCTAGAAATAATACACCAATCTCTAACCTAGGCATAGTCAAATGCAAGCAGCGAGCCCGTGAAGTGATGTACTAGCCTAGTATGAACTCAGCCATTGAGGACACAGTCCAGAACTGCAGGAAATGTGCAGAGTATCAGAACAAGCAGAGGGCTGAACCATTAATGCTGACTGTAACTCCTGACTTGCCATACACCATGGTTGGATGTGACTTGTTTGACTTCCAGTTAAGCAAGTACCTACTGCTAGTGGACTATTACTCGAAATATATTGACGTCGTCGAACTGAGCTCAACTACAACCTCATCGATAACTAACGCCATGAAGCAAATATTCGCTTGCCACGACATCCCACTGAGGATTCGATCAGACAACGGGCCACAATTCAGCTCGACTGAATTCAATAAATTCTGCCAGGCGTACGGAATCGAACATCTGACTTCCAGCCCGCACTTCCAGAGCTCCAATGGAGAAGCAGAGCGAGCGACACAAACAGTGAAACGCCTATGGAGCAAGGCAGAGGACAAATACTTAACTCTACTAAACTACCGAACTACACCTTTGGAGGGAATTAAATTATCCCCAGCTCAACTTCTGATGGGCAGGCGCCCCAGGAATACTTTGCCTGCCTCTAGGGAAATCCTAAAACCCAGAATAGACAACACTACAGTAGTAAAAGAACACTTCAATAAAGAGAAGGCAAAACAAAAGGTCTATTATGACCTTAGGAGAGGTGTGAAGGAGCTAAAACCACTAGAACAAGGTGACAGCATACACATGAACCCTCTTCCAGGCTCCAAGTCTTGGAAATCGGGGACGGTGGTAAAGCACTACGGGAGACCCAGATCCTACGTCATCTGCAGCGGAGGTTGGCTGTATCGCCGCAATCGCAGACACCTCCAAGAGACATCAGAAGCAGCAAACCAACAGAACAATACTACAATGGACGACGGGCAGCTGGGCGTCAGCGACAAACAACATGAGACCCGAAGAGAACCCGACACTGCACCAGAGGCGAGAGACGGGACAGCACGGACGGGTGACGGACACAATGACATCCTCCGAGAAGACCCCTGCACGTCTCCAAGATACACAACAAGGTCTGGCAGGACTGTAAAGCCACCCAGAAGACTGGACTTATAATAATGTGTTGATGTTACATATTGTATAATGCAATCTGTGTTGATGTTACATATTGTAGAATGCAATCTGTGTTGATGTTACATATTGTAGAATGCAAGTATATTTGTTAATTAAATCATATCCTAGATTTGAAATGAGTAAGAAATCTTAAGTAACTTAGTATCAAAAGTAAGAAGAGGAGATGTAATATAATTGAATTTCATTATCCATAACATAAGCGACCATCCATATAAATAAATAGAATCCTACGAAGGCTAAGCGACAATAAAAAATAGAACAGGGCTTGTTAACATAACATGGCATCTTCAGTGACTGATATTACAATAAGGTGCAGATAGCAGAAAGGTCTACTACTCAAGAATATGTTATGAACGTTACACTAGATTTTCAAGGAAGATTTGTTTTAAGAAGACAACTCAAACCTTTCTGTAGTCCTTTCTTCAACCCCTTCTCTATCCTATCTCCAAGACCTCTCAAGGAGGAATGTTTTGACATTCCCTTGACCTCCGGACTGACCTCAGCTTGGAATTTCTGATCACTATCATCTTGGTCTGAATTGTTTATAATTAATAAAAATTACAAGCATGTATTAAGTTAGCCAGCTTACAGATAATTACAAAATAAAGGCAGGAGAAAAAATAGACACACTACAGCCGTTATTGTACACACCCCACAAATTGTTTGAAGCTTTACCAGCAAACATATTAGTTTCATTAGATGTGTCAAACAAAGGAGGCAGTTGTCTTTCTTCTCTGGATGATGTCCCTTTCTTCATTCCTGCCCTCAAATCTGCTAAAGTTTTCGCTTCTTCATCCGAGTCATCCCAGGATGCAAGACCTGTTATTGAAAAATTAGTTCAGAAGCAGCACACCAAAAAATACGTTTTATTTTTATTACTACAGATATAATGTTATAATGAAACAAGTGACGCGGAGTGACAGCGCTCATCTCACGTCTACTGCGGTGACTCTGTGGTGGAGTGGTGGGAGTCTAGTAAACCCTGTTAGTCCCAAATGTTTTCACATATGCACCGAAACAGTGGAAGGCACAGGGATGGTATCAGGAACCTTCTCGAAGGAATGTTCGTTGGGATCGTTATGAAAGTTGCCACGAGATGGCGCGTACGTTTAAGTGTCTTAAGATTAAAGATGGAAGCTCCCATTGTACGTAGTAGCAACAACTGTTTGCAAGACAGAATAGGTAAGCACTCATCCATTTACCTACGCAAGCCTACAGGCTGAAATAGAGAGCTGCCACCTGTAACTAATTAACGCAGGCAAAAACTACACAGTACTATCACCACCACATGCACTGGCAGTGGCTACTGGCAGTGGCATAAGTTACATGTAACACACTGACAGTACAGACATGCCATAGAAATTATACGAATTTAAGGAGCATAATCCTTCTTCAACCAAATTTTAGCGCTTTGAAATTCACTGTGACATTGTAGCCTCATAACGTCCAAGCATGGTATAGATTCTACTAGCAAACCCGGGCAGTTCAAATTCTTTCTAACAGTAACAAATCATGTTTAACCCTCCTGCATGAGATCAAAAGGTATCCGACCTTATCTTCACGCATGTCAGCGGAAAGGTAATTTCAATGGTCCTTTCATAAAGTCATAAAAATGATAGGCACTGTGAAACAAAAAATTTTTCAATCGGCTTCTCAGACATGTCTCAGAAAATGTCTAGATAATTTGCCTGTGCCGCGCATTGACCTTTGCGGCTAGCTGTGAGTCACAATTTCGGCGCACACGTGATGGTTTTCCTACCATGCATGCTATAATCACCGACTATCACAAGCATAGGTCGAGCCGTTTAGATTTGGTTCGGCGCAATTTTCTGGCATTTTCTCGCTATACCTTAAGTTAAGAAGGAAATGTTCCCCTCTCTTTATACACTCTTTGACTTTGACTCGCGCAGCTTCGACATCCACCGTCGTTTTCGCATTACCCCCCCCCCCCTAACGTCGCCGACTTTCGAATCCGTACGATCAAAGCCGTTTAGATTTGTGCCGCAACTGTTTTGAGGAGCGCACGGCCACCACCGCACGCACGGACGATCATGGATTCTACAAAGCTGATCGCTGGACTCTCGTCAGATGAGCTAAAAATACTCATAAAAAATTTAAAATACTGAAAGAATATCATGTGTTTTACGGAGTTTACTTGATGAACTCTAGCAAATTTTAATTTTGAATAAAGAATCGATTACCTGGACTTTCAGGTCGAGGATCATAAGAATTCCCCCTTTTTGGACTTTCCTGGTGTCCGTACTTGCCTTTAGAAGTCCCTCTATCATCTAGTGAATGCGATATATATATATATTTATATATATAATACACTGGGGGCCGTTGTCAGAAACAAAATTAGTCGCAAATAGTTACATGTAACTTCCACTCGTAAACCGTTGCCAGAAACATCGTAATGTTACGAGAACGAACAAGTGCCGCAGAGCGACAGGGCTCATCTGGTGTCTGGTGTTCTGCTGATAAATTCATTTGTGCATAGCAAGACGTCCTATACATACGTTCATTTCTAACCCAAAAAAACAAACTAGTGTAATAAAATTCCGATAGATGGCGGGCCGCTATCAAAGGCATCGTTGCATCGATCAGCAAAAGCATTGCAGCAATGGCAGCTGTCAGTGTGACGACGAATTGCAAAAAGCAGGAGCAAATAATTACCATATTATTACTATACATAACGTGCGTTCTATGGTGTCAGATAATAAGGTACATTAAACCCCTTGCGAGGCACATCTGACTCGTTAAAAATAGCTCAATGGTTGATACAACCAGAGGCAGAGCAGCTCGTGCAAGATTACAATTTACAGCAATACGATAGCAAATATCTCTAAACTAATTTCAGTACAAGGTAGGCCAGTGATTAGTGGACCGAATAAGCTCAAGACGTACACACTTGCGTCTATATTGGTGCCAAAATTTGATGAGAAAATTAAGTCTGGGAAATCCGCAGCCTCACTCCTGGGTAATTATTTGAGTGCTAGTGACTGTATTCCAACTATTCATAATGTACACTACAAAATCTTATATATAAGTCATGTCATTATCACCTAAGTAAGCGTTGTTCAAGTAAGAGTTATGTGTGGAATTTCACTGTAAAATGGGAACTTTCCACACCCACAGGTACACGCCAATGCAGTTGAGAGAAACAAATCCATGTTTAACCCTCCTCTTGAGGGTCAAAAAGTTATCCGACACTTACTCTTCGCATGTCAGCGGAAAGTACATTTCATGGTCCTTTCAATAAAGCCATAAAAATGCTAGGTCACTGATATGTTTGAGCCAAGTATTGAGTAACAATAAGATGCTTTATTCCGATGACAAAATAGACACTACAGGATGGTTGACATGTTTGGCGGTGTGCCCCCATAGGTGGCAGCACCTGCTGGAGCTGGTCTCGCTAAATGCATAATAAACATAACATCTCTCCCCTCTTTGGCTTCAAACTTCGAGCCGAAAACACAATGCAGCTACTGTTAAGATTCCAAAATGATATGCGTCTAAACCAAAACTATTGTTGGCTTAACATCAGTAATGTCACTTGCTCCGTAACAATAATTTTTTGTCAGATAGCTGAAAAAACTGCTAACGATTAAAACGTAACTTTCTGAAACACATACATGTAATACACAATCGTTTCCTAAAACACTACATAGTCATGTTGATTATAATGTCACGAATTACGAATTACAAATTGCGCGAATATGCGAATTGCGAATGCACAGCGGTTGTGCTACGATGCGAGGTTCGACAGGAGGAGAGGTTACTAGCACATCACTCCTTGGACTTGGCGCACACATAGTCCTCGAACCTGACAGGCATACGAGTTATCCGGTCCGAGCGGCGGACTGGAGCAGCATTGTCCTGAGGCCTGCGGAGAATCGGGCGTAGAGGAACAGCGGCTTGATGTTCAATTCATGTTCAATGTCGTTGTCTTTGATTGGAGTGTCCTCGATATCTTGTGCATTATCGCGGAGTTGGCGGATGGGTCTGTTCGCCACGAAGGACTTGAAATGAGCGACGTTCCTCGTGATTCTGTAGTCTCCACATGCTGCTGTAATCATTGATCCTTTGCGGTTGACAACAGTCAGCAGCTTTGGGTCGAATGGCGTTGACAACTTGTTTGTCTTCTTTACGCGCACTAGGACAGTGTCACCAACTGCGATGTTTGAGGGTTTGGCACCTCTTCGATTGTCCGCGTACTTTTTCCCCTTCTCTTTTGACGATGCGCGTTGTTGGTGCGAATCACATATCGATTCCTTTGCGTTCCTTGGCTGAACTAAGCGAGGGCACGCGTTGTACGGATTTTGCGACCATACAAAACCTCGGCTGGCGAGATTCCAGTTGACGTGTGCGGCGTAGTGCGGTATTGACGCAGGAAGTTATACATTTCTTGCTTCCAATTTTTCTGTTCAACATGGGCTGCACGGATAGATTTCATGAGTGGACCCATGAAGTGTTCTGCTTCGCATTAGCCTGTGGCCATAGCGGTGTGATTT